TAATAATAATAATAATAATAATAATAATAATAATAATATTTTATTTAGGAAAAGTACATACATAGATGCAGAGTTTGTGGGTATGCAGCTGCAGCCTGGCGTCCATAACTAGTTAAACACAAGGCAAAGTTAAAATAGATTGAGAGGTACGCCACGGCAACCCGTCCTCTACTCAAATCCATTACATCCAGCGGTCGACCCCACAGACGCACTCAAAAATTTTTACATGTTGTTCATTCAAAACGGGAATTTTCTCAAATATAAATTAATATTATAGTTATTATAGGAAAGGGTACTGGAATTAAACCTCACTCACCTGGAAGACAAAAGAGTTAAGGTAGACATGAACACCTCATATGGAAAATCTCCGAGGAATTAACAGGTTGGACAAAGACACTGTTTAGCATGGCGGAACACGCACAAGGGGACACAGGTGGAAACTTAGTACTAAAATGAGCCAAGGAAACATTTTTTGTCAGTGTCAGAGTAGTTAACAAATGGAATGCATTAGGAATTGATGTGGTGGAGGCTGACTCCATGCACAGTTTCAAGTGTAGATATGATAGAGCCCAGTAGGCTCAGGAACCTGTACACCTGTTGATTGACGGTTGAGAGGCGGGACCAAAGAGCCAGAGCTCAACCCCCGCAAGCACAACTAGGTGAGATTACACACCGGCGGTCAACTCGAAGCTGTGGGCTTGGGAGCTGAAGTTCATCCCCCAGCAAGGGTAGCTAGGTGAGCACACAAAAGGACAATGAAAGGATTTAAGCGGTTTTTGGTGGTGTGTAGCAAATTATGTAATGGTGGGAAGGTGCTGTTATCTGGCTGTGGCTTCCTGAACACTCCCCGTAGGGAGGGGGTCTGTCTGGTGGGGAGGGAGGGGGTCTGTCTGGGGGGAGGGGGGGGGGGGGAGGGGGGTGATGGGGAGAGTAGTAGTAGTCTAGTGAGGGAGGGAGGGAGGGGGGGGGGAGTGAAAAGGGATTGGGGTAAAGTGTAGTTGAAATTGAGGGAGAGAGTGCGCTAGCAACTCTTGCGTCGCGGGTGGTTTCGAGACGTTGTGTGTGTTTGAGTGTGTTGAGTGTGTGTGTGTGTGTGTGTGTGGGGGGGGGGGTCTACCGCCCATACAGCATACGGTATACACACTTCCCACATTATTATGCACCTTCCCATCTAAATCATACCATCGGCGCCCATCCCACAATCCTCCCGCCCATTCCATGCCAGGGGTGTGTGTTTGGTGCCATTTGGCACACAAAATACGGTCCCTGCTCTCCCCCAGGGCTCCCCTGCTCTCCCCCAGGGCTCCCCTGCTCTCCCCAGGGCTCCCCTGCTCTCCCCCAGGGCTCCCCTGCTCTCCCCCAGGGCTCCCCTGCTCTCCCCCAGGGCTCCCCTGCTCTCCCCCAGGGCTCCCCTGCTCTCCCCCAGGGCTCCCCTGCTCTCCCCCAGGGCTCCCCTGCTCTCACTCAGGGCTCCCCTGCTCTCACTCAGGGCTCCCCTGCTCTCCCCCAGGGCTCCCCTGCTCTCCCCCAGGGCTCCCCTGCTCTCACTCAGGGCTCCCCTGCTCTCACTCAGGGCTCCCCTGCTCTCACTCAGGGCTCCCCAGCTCTCCCTCAGGGCTCCCTTGCTCTCCCTCAGGGCTCCCTTGCTCTCACTCAGGGCTCCCCTGCTCTCACTCAGGGCTCCCCTGCTCTCACTCAGGGCTCCCCTGCTCTCACTCAGGGCTCCCCAGCTCTCCCCCAGGGCTCCCCTGCTCTCCCCCAGGGCTCCCCTACTCTCACTCAGGGCTCCCCTGCTCTCCCCCAGGGCTCCCCTGCTCTCCCCCAGGGCTCCCCTGCTCTCACTCAGGGCTCCCCTGCTCTCACTCAGGGCTCCCCTGCTCTCCCTCAGGGCTCCCTTGCTCTCCCTCAGGGCTCCCTTGCTCTCACTCAGGGCTCCCTTGCTCTCCCTCAGGGCTCCCTTGCTCTCCCTCAGGGCTCCCCTGCTCTCCCTCAGGGCTCCCCTGCTCTCACTCAGGGCTCCCCTGCTCTCACTCAGGGCTCCCCTGCTCTCACTCAGGGCTCCCCTGCTCTCACTCAGGGCTCCCCTGCTCTCACTCAGGGCTCCCCTGCTCTCACTCAGGGCTCCCCTGCTCTCACTCAGGGCTCCCCTGCTCTCAGGGCTCCCCTGCCTCCATCAGGGCTCCCTTGCTCTCCCTCAGGGCTCCCTGCTCTCACTCAGGGCTCCCTTGCTCTCCCTCAGGGCTCCCTTGCTCTCCCTCAGGGCTCCCCTGCTCTCCCTCAGGGCTCCCCTGCTCTCACTCAGGGCTCCCCTGCTCTCACTCAGGGCTCCCCTGCTCTCACTCAGGGCTCCCCTGCTCTCACTCAGGGCTACCCTGCTCTCCCTCAGGGGCTCAGGGCTCCCTGCTCTCCCTCAGGGCTCCCTTGCTCTCCCTCAGGGCTCCCCTGCTCTCCCTCAGGGCTCCCCTGCTCTCACTCAGGGCTCCCCTGCTCTCACTCAGGGGCTCTCACTCAGGGCTCCCCTGCTCTCCCTCAGGGCTCCCCTGCTCTCCCTCAGGGCTCCCCTGCTCTCCCTCAGGGCTCCCCTGCTCTCACTCAGGGCTCCCCTGCTCTCACTCAGGGCTCCCCTGCTCTCCCTCAGGGCTTCCCTGCTCTATGATTTCTTAACATATATATAGACCATATGTACACAGGTTTTTAGAATTTTCTGAATGTGACAATAAGACATTGATTGCTAATGTTGTTAATAAATGAACATTTTCTTGTGCGGCCAGACATTGTCAGTCTGGTGGCCACACATTGTCAGTCTGGTGGCCAGACATTGTCAGTCTGGTGGCCAGACATTGTCAGTCTGGTGGCCAGACATTGTCAGTCTGGTGGCCAGACATTGTCAGTCTGGTGGCCAGACATTGTCAGTCTGGTGGCCAGACATTGTCAGTCTGGTGGCCAGACATTGTCAGTCTGGTGGCCAGACATTGTCAGTCTGGTGGCCAGACATTGTCAGTCTGGTGGCCAGACATTGTCAGTCTGGTGGCCAGACATTGTCAGTCTGGTGGCCAGACATTGTCAGTCTGGTGGCTAGACATTGTCAGTCTGGTGGCCAGACATTGTCAGTCTGGTGGCCAGACATTGTCAGTCTGGTGGCCAGACATTGTCAGTCTGGTTGCCAGACATTGTCAGTCTGGTTGCCAGACATTGTCAGTCTGGTGGCCAGACATTGTCAGTCTGGTGGCCAGACATTGTCAGTCTGGTGGCCAGACATTGTCAGTCTGGTGGCCAGACATTGTCAGTCTGGTGGCCAGACATTGTCAGTCTGGTGGCCAGACATTGTCAGTCTGGTGGCCACACATTGTCAGTCTGGTGGCCACACATTGTCAGTCTGGTGGCCACACACTGTCAGTCTGGTGGCCACACACTGTCAGTCTGGTGGCCACACACTGTCAGTCTGGTGGCCACACATGTCTGTGTATTAATACACTAGATACACACGCATACAGGATGAGCGGTGTCACCTTCAGGGTTGAACTTAGTGTACACTAAGTACATAGTATATACTATGTATACTTGGAGGGTGTTGTATGAAGGTGTTTGCAGCATTATCACACTGGGATGCTGTAGGTCGGGATGACAGGGTTGTCACGCTGTACAAGATGTAACTGTTGGCTCCCCTGTCTTAGCGCCTGACAGCTGGGTGGACAGCGCTTCGGATTCGTAGTTCTGAGGTTCCGGGTTCGATCCCCGGTGGAGGAGGAGACAAATGGGCAAACTGTTTCTTTCACACTGATGCCCCTGTTACGTAGCAGTAAATAGGTACCTGGGTGTTAGACAGCTGCTACGGGCTGCTTCCTGGGGGTGGAGGACTGGTCGAGGACCGGGCCGCGGGGACACTAAGCCTCGAAATCATCTCAAGATAACCTCCCCAGAAAGGCACGAAGACAAGCATCCCACCTATAGCAAGCCAAGCTAAAACCAAACTTAACACTTTTTTAACGGTTTGTTTAAATTCAATAATACCCAAATTCTATTTTCTAATTGTCCATTACGTACTTATGTTAGCCAGCCTGGCATATGCTGCTGATGTTATCCTCTTGATATGGGCTTGAGGGGACAGGTCTGGCGTGATATCAACCCCCAGGTCTTTCTCTCTCTTTCTGACTTGAAGTATTTCATCTCCCAAATGATACCTTGTATCTGGTCTCCTGCTCCCTACACCCATCTTCATTACATTACATTTGCTTGGGTTACATTACATGTGTGTGTGTGTGTGTGTGTGTGTGTGTGTGTGTGTGTGTGTGTGTGTGTGTGTGTGTGTGTGTGTGTGTGTGTGTGTGAGTGAGTGAGAAAAAAAAGGTGATTGACAATTGAGACAAAGTCAAAGAGCCAGAGCTCAACCCCCGCAAGCACAACTAGGTGAATTCAGCCCATATTACCACCAGTGGCAACATAGCTAACATGAGTGGGTGACTGGGGAGACATCTCAGTGGTGGGCCACTACCAGCCTGGAGAACCCAACTAATGAACACCTGAGATTATTCAGTGGTTGTTATATTGCTCGGCTTGTACATACCTCCCAGCTTGTACATACCTCCCTTCAAGAGTTTACTCTTGAACTGTCGCAATCAGAAGGTCAACCGTAACCGGGAAGAGGTGCCCTAAACAGTCCATCCATCAACCATAAAGTGGGGTTTGTGTCAACACTAAACGATCGATAGCCTGGTAAAGACTTGATTTAAGAAGTGTGTGAAGTAGAGCACCGAGAGAAGAGGAGCGAGCAGTGCGGGACGTGGTGGCAGAACAATGAGTGTCAAGGTGCAGGCGGTGGTGGTGGTGGTGGTGGTGAGGAGGAGGGGTGGAAGCACGGTGAGAAATGGTGATTTGAGTTGACAGTGGAGGACAGTAGTGTGTGTAGCACAGATGGGGCGGAAGACATACTGACGAAGGGGAGCGCAGATAGTTGTTGAAGGCACTTAGTGCAGATGGAGGAGCGCGGCGGCTTCAAACTGTTATGGGCTTGGGTGAAACTCGAGGTCATTCTCGTAAATAACCGTTATGGGGTTCTCGGAGGAGACCGCGTCGTAAGTAAGAGTCGACGAGGGACAGAGGCCACGTACCGGGAGAGAGTTTAAGGCGGGAGTTTGTGTGACACTGGTGTCATGTGCTCGCTTAATACACTGAGGCCAATGTTGGAGGTGCAGTGTGGGGCATCCTGGTGGACTGTCTACGGTTAACACCGGGCTGTCACTGCTGGGGATGGTGGTGGAGGCGGGGGCTGAAGGGTTATGGCCACTGGTGGAGGAGGCGGGGGCTGAAGGGTTGTGGCCACTGCTGGAGGTGGTGGAGGCGGCGGGGGCTGAAGGGTTGTGGCCACTCCTGGAGGTGGTGGAGGAGGCGGGGGCTGAAGGGTTATGGCCACTGCTGGAGGCGGCGGGGGCTGAAGGGTTGTGGCCACTGGTGGAGGTGGTGGAGGAGGCGGGGGCTGAAGGGTTATGGCCACTGGTGGAGGCGGCGGGGGCTGAAGGGTTGTGGCCACTGGTGGAGGCGGCGGGGGCTGAAGGGTTATGGCCACTGCTGGAGGTGGTGGAGGAGGAGGCGGGGGCTGAAGGGTTGTGGCCACTGGTGGAGGCGGCTGGGGCTGAAGGGTTGTGGCCACTGCTGGAGGTGGTGGAGGAGGCGGGGGCTGAAGGGTTGTGGCCACTGGTGGAGGCGGCGGGGGCTGAAGGGTTGTGGCCACTGGTGGAGGCGGCGGGGGCTGAAGGGTTGTGGCCACTCCTGGAGGTGGTGGAGGCGGCGGAGGCGGCGGGGGCTGAAGGGTTGTGGCCACTGCTGGAGGTGGTGGAGGCGGCGGGGGCTGAAGGGTTGTGGCCACTGCTGGAGGTGGTGGAGGCGGCGGGGGCTGAAGGGTTGTGGCCACTGCTGGAGGTGGTGGAGGCGGCGGGGGCTGAAGGGTTGTGGCCACTGCTGGAGGTGGTGGAGGCGGCGGGGGCTGAAGGGTTGTGGCCACTGCTGGAGGTGGTGGAGGCGGCGGGGGCTGAAGGGTTGTGGCCACTGCTGGAGGTGGTGGAGGCGGCGGGGGCTGAAGGGTTGTGGCCACTGCTGGAGGTGGTGGAGGCGGCGGGGGCTGAAGGGTTGTGGCCACTGCTGGAGGTGGTGGAGGCGGCGGGGGCTGAAGGGTTGTGGCCACTGCTGGAGGTGGTGGAGGAGGCGGGGGCTGAAGGGTTGTGGCCACTGCTGGAGGTGGTGGAGGCGGCGGGGGCTGAAGGGTTGTGGCCACTGCTGGAGGTGGTGGAGGCGGCGGGGGCTGAAGGGTTGTGGCCACTGCTGCTGAAGGTGGTGGAGGAGGCGGGGGCTGAAGGGTTGTGGCCACTGCTGGAGGTGGTGGAGGCGGCGGGGGCTGAAGGGTTGTGGCCACTGCTGGAGGTGGTGGAGGAGGCGGGGGCTGAAGGGTTGTGGCCACTGCTGGAGGTGGTGGAGGCGGCGGGGGCTGAAGGGTTGTGGCCACTGCTGGAGGTGGTGGAGGCGGCGGGGGCTGAAGGGTTGTGGCCACTGCTGGAGGTGGTGGAGGAGGCGGGGGCTGAAGGGTTGTGGGGGGCTGAAGGGTTGTGGCCACTGGTGGAGGCGGCGGGGGCTGAAGGGTTGTGGCCACTGCTGGAGGTGGTGGAGGAGGCGGCGGGGGCTGAAGGGTTGTGGCCACTGCTGGGGGTGGTGGAGGAGGCGGGGGGCTGAAGGGTTGTGGCCACTGGTGGAGGCGGCGGGGGCTGAAGGGTTGTGGCCACTGCTGGAGGCGGCGGGGGCTGAAGGGTTGTGGTGGAGGTGGTGGAGGAGGCGGGGGCTGAAGGGTTGTGGCCACTGGTGGAGGCGGTGGTGGAGGCGGCGGGGGCTGAAGGGTTGTGGCCACTGGTGGAGGAGGAGGAGGGAGTAGCTGAAGGAAGTGTTGAAGACACTACAAGAAAATGTCAGCTGAGAAAGTGGGTGCACAATTGTGGGGTAATATATTAATTGTCTTTGCGTAGTTTGACACCGATTCGTGTCGAACTGCCTGTGGCTTCCTTAGCTTGTACAAGCAATATGCTGACAGATCTTATTAATAAATGGTGTAGGTGCGCGCGCATAAATATAGGTTGTCATCAGGTGTGGTGTGTCATCCTTGTGTGGGTCATGTGCCGCTACTGAACCTTGTTATTCCTTCGTCTTCATTATTATTATTATTATTATTATTATTATTATTATTATTATTATTATTATTATTATTAGTGCAAAATATTGTAGTTTTTACACCACCGTCCCACTTGCTGCCAGTGGTGGAGCGCCAGCAGCACCCAGTGGAGTACCACTACCACCTGCCAGTGGTGTAGCTCTACTACAGGTGTTAGGACGCTGCAGGTGTGCATACCTGGAGAGGGTTCTGGCAGTTGTACTTCCCGCGTCAGGCTGACTTATGATGACTGGGCCCAACAGGCTGTTGTTCGGAGCAGTCCGCAGGCCCACGTATGCACCACCACCTGGTGGGTCCGGCACTTCTTGTAAGAACCTATTTAAGTGTTTCTTGAAGACTTCCATTTTTGTTCCGGCAATATTTCTAATGCTTGCTGGGAGGGTGTTGAACAACCGTGAACTCCCTGATGTTCAGACAGTGTTCTCTGATTGTGCCTATGGCACCTCTACTCCTCACTGGTTCTATTCTGCATTTCCTTCCGTATCTTTCGGTCGAGTATGTTGTTATTCTACTGTCCAAAGTTGCGACATAGCCTTCCAGTATCTTTATTGTATATATTATTTTATACCTCTCTCGTCTCCTTTCCAGAGAGTATATTTTGAGAGCTTTTAGATGGTCCTGATAATTGAGGTATTTTATCGTGTCTGTTCGTTCCGTATAGGTTCTCTTGTGTTCTCTGGTTCTCTTGTTAGTGTCGTTAAATTGGACGGTAATAAGGATCACGCTCATGACGCCTGGGATGGTAGAGGAACGAGTCATGGGAGGGAGACGTTGATGGCTGTTAGGGCGTAATTGGAGAAAATGGTGGGGATTGTCTCGAGAAACTGTTGGGGGTCTATCTCAAGAAAATTAAGAGGTGTGACTAGAAACATCAACGTATGGAAGCTGCTACGCCTCTGGCCAGAATATCTGCTCTTACATCACTTTCTTTAATTCCAAGTAATAATAATTAGTTTTGTCAGGAACAAGAAGCCTGTATGTAGAGGAATGAGTCTCTTTTCTGTCTGTCTGTCTGTCTGTCTCTCTCTCTCTCTCTCTCTCTCTCTCTCTCTCTCTCTCTCTCTCTCTCTCTCTCTCTCTCTCTCTCTCTCTCTCTCTCTCTCTCTCTCTCTCTCTCTCTCTCTCTATATATATCTATATATATATATATATAAATATATATATATATATATATATATATATATATATATATATATTATATATATATATATATATATTTTTAGGACTGGATTACCATTGTCTAAACCAGCATTTTCGGAGATTAGAAACCATTGTTATGAGTTTGATCATTCTCTGCTGGAATCTGATTTTAAAATTCTGGACACTTGTATGAATGGCCAGTCAGATTTGAGAGTAATGGAATCCTTATATATAAAGGAACTGCGGCCTCTGTTAAATAGCAACCTTTCAGCTGTCCAATTGTACACTGTATAGTGCACAGTAGGCCCTGTAATTTGATTTTAGTTTTATTTTGGTAGTTTAATTTTGTTTAGTTTACCATGTCTTTGCCCTTTCTTACTTATTTCAAGTCTTAACATTGTACATTAATATAATCTTCTATGTAGGATATATAATACATTTTTTGGTATTTAATTTTATTTAATATTTGAGTTTTTTATAAGATTTGGTTAGTACTTTATAATTGTCGTTTATTCTGGTTGTATTTTACATACATTTTTTGTAGATTTGTAGTCATTATATAAATATTTGTTATAGTGTTTAGTATCTATGTGTTAGGTATCAAGTTTCACTTCTGATCACTTCACGTAAGTTTAATAGAATGGTTTGTTTTAGTAGTTTTAAATTTCATCTTGTAGTTTAATGGATTTTAAATTAGTTTTAATATATGTGACAGTTAATAAGTTTTATTTGTATTGATCACTTAAGTGCGCTTAAGTGTTTTGTTTTTTAAGCTTTTTCCTTTCTTTGATAGGCAATTATATTCAGTATGAGTTCTTTGTTTACCAGCTATTTGACTGTGATTTCTGTTTTTTCTTTTAGATCTGATGATGAATACGAGAAGTATTCGAAACGTTATGTTTTTTAAAGTAAAGATTATGATACAAGATGTTCAGTATATCCCTGGTTTTCCTATTCATCTTAAAATATATATATATATATATATAATATAATGAGTTTAGTGAAGCATAATGGTCGTGAAAGAGCTCACAGCGTTAAGCGACGTACAAGAGAGAGTACAAAATATATATCTTCCCAGGCTTGAGTGTAGACTTGGCTGGTGTAATGCTCAACTTGTATTAGAAATAATGGGATGGGAGGCTCGTGTGCGTGTGTGTGTGTGTACGAAGGTTCCGCTGCCGTGTACCTGCTGGTGTCTGCGGCCTTAACCATAACAGAACACAACCTGGTGACGGTTCCGGTTGAGGAAACTTCAACCAGAAGGTTGAAGGTTGAGCCGTAACAGGTGGAGGTAGGATTCGTGTGCCGGGGCTCGCAGACAGAACCCCCGTCACTAAACAGGTGAGCGCCCACACTGACGGAAGTGTACGGAAGTCTCCGCCACACTTGTCCACTTTACCTTGTCCAGAAAATTACCCTATAATCATATACTTTATTTGTTATTGTTGCTGAAATCTCGTGAGTGGCGGGCTAATCTGGCGAGACTTTAACTCGTCCAAGGTAATGAGACTTTGGAGGGTGGGGGTGGGGGTGGGAGGAGGGGTCGGATCCCCTCACGCGAGGGGACGGGGGGAGATGAGTGCCCCCGTCTTACGAGGGGACGGGGCTGTTTGGATCCCCTCACCTGGGAAAGAGTTTAAGACAACTGAGTCACGAGGAAAGGCTTAGATAACTGTGCAACAGGACGAGGAGGAGGAGGAGAAGCAGCAGGAGAAGCAATAGGAGGAGAAGAAGCAGGAGGAGGAGGAAGAGCGAACCAGACAGAGACACAGACAGAAACAGAGAAAGACAGACAGACAGGAGAGTCAGTTGGATTGAAAGAAGTCTTCCTTCAATGTACGAGCCGCAAAGAAGTCTAATTATCCATAAGCTGATGGAAGCCGCCTCCATTCCAGCATGAGGTTTGGCAAAGCATTTAATGTTTGGAAGTAAATTTAATCAGAATAGCTAGAGGGGCGGGGCCCATGAACTATAGCCCTCTCATGACAAGGATCGATAAGCGTATTCCCACATGCACACCTCATAACCCCTCCCCCCCCCCCCACAGCAACATATGTTGCATCACAACACCTGTGTACACTACAGGTGGCGTGGTGCAGGGTGTGTGTGTGCCACCCTCAATATTTTTCTAGGCGAGTGGCTTGCGGAACCTGGTAGGCACGTGTTTGGAGGTGTGTGGACGGGTGTGTGTGGGTGCGTGCCTCTGTGTGTCTCAATGTACACTGCTTCTGTTAACGTGACTTACAAGGTCGAGGGCACTCTGGCGCTCCGCCTCGCATGCTGTGAGTTGTCTCATGCAGTGTCTTCTGAGATACTGTTTTGTGGGTCTACACACACACACACACACACACACCGGTGGGGACCGGTGGCCGAGCGGACACCACGCTGTACACGTGATCCTGTGGTTCCGGGTTCGATCCCGGGCGCCGGCGAGAAGCAATGGGCAGAGTTTCTTTCAGCCTATGCTCCTGTTACCAAAGCAGTAAATAGGTACCTGGGAGTTAGTCAGCTGTTACGGGCCGCTTCCTGGTGTGTGTGTGTGTGTGTGTGGTGTGGAGAAAAAAAAATAGTAGTAGTAGTAGTAGTAGTTAGGAACAGTTGATTGACATTTGAGAGGCGGGCCGAATGAGCAGACCTCAAACCCCGCAAGCACAACTAGGTGAATACACACACACACACACACACACACACACACACACACACACACACACACACACACTCGTAGACACGTGGTAGACGGTTGGAACAAGTTAAGTGAGAAGGTGGTGGAGGCCAAGACCGTCAGTAGTTTCAAAGCGTTATATGACAAAGAGTGCTGGGAAGACGGGACACCACGAGCGTAGCTCTCTCCTGTAACTACACTTAGGTCTCTCTCTCTCTCTCTCTCTCTCTCTCTCTCTCTCTCTCTCTCTCTCTCTCTCTCCTCTCTCTCTCTCTCTCTCTCTCTCTCTCTCTCTCTCTCTCTCTCTCTCTCTCTCACGTGTGTGAGTACACACACTCACTCGCTCTCACCGACACCTGCGTTGTGTGTGATCGGTGGGTGCTCCCTCCACACCCGCCACTCCGTCAGGGAGGCAGGCTACCTAGGACACATGTGCGGTGAAGGGCATGATCTGTGCCACCTGTTTACTGCTCTCAAATATATGCACAACAAATACAGGCGACGTAATGCACCATCGAGAAATACAAGTTCCATGTTGCACCAGTAGAAGACATAGGCCTGCGGACTCGGACTCAAGTTTAAATTCTCAATGAAGAAGAGATAGAATTTACTCATTTTGAATGCCGTGACGATATTATCAGGAAACGCCATCGTCATTATTGCAGGTAATTCAATCAGTGTCATCACTATTATCATCAGAATCACCATAAATCCTCCTGGTTGATACCTGGTTGATGGGGTTCTGGGAGTTCTTCTACTCCCCAAGCCCGGCCCGAGGCCAGGCTCCACTTGTGAATGTTTGGTCCACTAGGCTGCCAAACTCAGCTTCAAACCAGCAACCACACACCTGCACTAAAGACAGATATCACACATATCACACCTCTCCAGCTCCTCCCCTCCCCCCCCTCAAACAACACCTGCTGGCGAGAGCCACCTGTATAGTCGCACCTTCCTCTGGACATTTTATCACCTGTCCCGCAGCACCTGTCTACCGTGAGAGCATGACAAGTGCCTGAAGAAGAAGCTTTCACATCAACCCATCCTCCACTTGGACCCACTATTGGTCGAAGGTACACAAATGGATTGTTTTGTATTTTTATTATAAAATATGTTTAGAGGGACTGATAAAGAAGGCATCCAAACCTAAACCTTTCAAGAACTAGTATATTACATGTAGTAAATTAGGCCTAAGATGGCGTATGATTGACAAGTTAGATTGTATAGTTACTAACAGTCAATTACTGTTCCATTTTTAAGAGCGCCATTTGAGTATTCCAGTAGTATAAATCGTGAACTTTGGTGTAGGGGGGGGGGCAGGTGTGGTGTTGGTCATGTGGCGGGTGTAGGCAGGTGTGGTGTTGGTCATGTGGCGGGTGGTAGGCAGGTGTGGTGTTGGTCATATCACGGGTGGTAAGCAGGTGTGGTGTTGGTCATGTCACGGGTGGTAGGCAGGTGTGGTGTTGGTTATCTGGCGGGTGTAGGCAGGTGTGGTGTTGGTTATCTGACGGGTGTAGGCAGGTGTGGTGTTGGTTATCTGACGGG